AGTCAGGCTTCGCGTTGGCGTGTGGTCCACTGCCGCATGGATTGGCGCGCTTTTACGCATGTGCGAATGTTACGGGCGTTCGGTTATGGGGGCGCCACGCATCTGCAAAGGACGGCGCCCGCGTACGAAGGAGCGACGCACCGTCGCTATCACCGTGTAGTCACAGCCGAAAAGTTGCATGTGCGCGCTTGCTCGTGGATTGCAAGGCATTGATCGGATGGGGGCGGCCAGGTAAGCGTGGGCGGAGAGAGAAAGCCCACCCGCGCCGCCACGGCGGGGTCCGCGTCGAGTTCTGGGCCCGCCCAAGGTTCGCGTGGCGTCGGGGCGTCGCGCCCCGCGCCGTTCAGATGGGAACTGTCAGTTTTGCGCGGCGCTTTTTCTTTGGATTCCATCCTGGACCCCCCGCCCCTTCGGCGCGGGCGTCTCAAGACCGACGGCGCGGCATTCCTGGCGTTCGGGCCGCGTGGCCGAATTTTTTGGGCGCCCCGCGATTCGCGCAGGCGGGGGCCGATCGCATTGGGGCCCGCCATAATGTCCTGAGCGTTGTAAAGATGCTATTTACTACTTGTACCTGCCACTGGGGCTTTCGGCGGAGTTCCCTATGGGTCCACAAAACGCTTGAGGGGTGTGCCGAAATGGGTGGTGGGGAGGCATGCGGACCCTGCCACTGGGGCCTTCGGTGGAACTCCATATGGGGCCACGAAACGTGTGAGGGATGTGCCGGAATGGGTGGTGGGGAGGCATGCGGACCCTCCCACTGGGGCCTTCGGTGGAGTTCCCTATGGGGCCACGAAGCGTGTGAGGGGTGTGCCGAAATGGGTAATGGGGAGGCATGCGGACCCTGCCACTGGGGCCTTCGGTCGAGCTCCCTATGGGGCCACTAAACGTACGAGGGGTGTGCCGAAATGGGTGGTGGGGACGCATGTGCGCGCCGCCACTGGGGCCTTCGGTGGAGCTCCCTATGGGGCCACGAAGCGTGTGAGGGGTGTGCCGAAATGGGTGGTGGGGAGGCATGCGGACCCTGCCACTGGGGCCTGCGGTAGAGCTCCCTATGGGACCACGAAACGTGTGAGGGGTGTGCCGAAATGGGCAATGGGGAGACATGCGGACCCTGCCATTGGGGCCTTCGGTGGAGCTCCCTATGGGGCCACGAAGCGTATGAGGGGTGTGCCGAAATGGGCGTGGGTGACGATGACGATGATGATGACGATGCTAATGATGATGATGATGCTGATGATGATGATGCTGATGTTGATGATGATGATGACGACGACGATGATCATGATGATGATGATGACGATGGGAAGAGGGAGGAGGGGGCGGCGGAGGAGGAGAGGAACGCGGGGCACCGTCTCTTCAAAACGAGGACCCAACACCACAGGATGGTTGAGAAAAGTATACATTGGATAAGCATGCAAGCGTAGCACAGCGGACACACCGCTGCAAGTAAACACGAATAAGCATGCAAGCGCAGCAAAGCGGTCAAACCGCTGCAGACATGCACAGATACAAGCAAAGCAGCCATCCCGCTGACGCTAGCGCGCGCGCGGCAAGCTTTTTTGCAGGCCTGCGGCGCCAGCGGCGCGCGCAAACCTCGCAGAGAGCGGAGCGAAGCCGCCTATTATAGGGGAGTCTATCCCAGACATGCATCGCGCGCAAGGACTTAGTTCAGTCGGCGCCTCTGAAGGCGGTCCTCCGCCTGCAGAGAGAGATAGAGGCGCATTGCAGAAAGAGAATCCTAATTCAGCCGTCATCGCGAGTCGATCTTCGACAGCTGTTCGGAGCTTCCACTTGTTCTGCCCGCTGTAATGCTCACGAACTCGAGGAGGAATCGTCGATTCGGTGGCTGCCCAGCACGCTGGGCACACTGGATACCACCACGAACCACAGCGCTGCTTCACCCACATTGTCCCTGTCTCACCGTTGAGGGTCTGGCAGAGCGAGCACCTTCTGGTGGCAGACGTCATGGAGGCGGCGCGGCAGGCGGATGAGCTGTCGAGGCGGTCTCGAAAATCAAACTCGAGCCCAAAAACGATACGGATTATTGTGGTTTCTGTGTGTTGTTTCTGTGTGCACATGCGGCCTGACCGCTTTAAATCATGGTTTGAATCACGCTCGGAACGTTGCTTCCATGGAAGAGGACGAGGAGGATGAGAATGAGAAAGACGGGGTGAAAAGAGAGAAGAGGAGAAAGAGGAGATGAAACAAGAGGAGAAAATCGCCGGGCAAAGCGGTCGCGCCGCTTCCGGCAGCGATAACGACGATGGCGATCGCGGTGGCGATTTTGTTTTTTTTCAAGCTGCCCTGCAATGACATCAGCGCTCTAAACCAGCAGTTCGGCTTTTATGCCATATCAACAAGTAGGAACGGTCCAACCGCCTCCTCTGTCCACAGCGCCTGTGGCTTGTGACTGTCGCAGCGCAGGAACCGAGGGGCGCCGTCCTTTCGCCAGCGCGAGGCGCTGGGGGATACCTGACAGACAAACTGCAAAGTGCGGGCAATCAACACCACGCTGCCGTCTTCTTCAGCCCCACCGATGATAAAATCAGGCCCACCACTGACGCGAGATCCTCCAGTAACGACCACCGTCGAAATGCTCAGAACTTCGTTGTGCTTGGCGCTGTTCGCCAAGCCATTCCCAAATGACAACTCCTTCCCCTTTGCGCTGTAGCAGCGAAGAGCAACACATCGTACCGAAAGTGATTTGTCAAAGGCGCAGGTGTTGTCGATGTCATCAGCGACCGCCAATGATTTTTTGCGGCAGCGCTCGGTTACCAGCGCGTCCAGGGCGAAGCCGCCCCTCACAACCTGCCGCGGCAAGTGTCGGCAGACATTGAATTTTGGGACGTGCGAGTTACAATCCCCGTGCGCGCGTTCGAACAGCAGGGCGTGGTCGCGCAACGCCGCGGCCCGATCATCTGCCTGAGCAGGGCCTCTCTTTGCTTCTAAATATAACGAAACACATTGGGCCAGCGCTGTAAAAGACGCCATTTCCTTTGCAAGGTCCGCCTTGAACTGCGCGCTTCCGTCGGTAAGTACATCCGAGGCGCATCGGATTAGCGGCAGAACCGATATCATATCACTCGCCTTAGTGGTGTATGTTTTTTGCTCTCGCGCAAATGTCTCTGTCGCTCATCGCTGAAAAGTCGGTTTGCATCAAGCGGCCCGCGTGCCGAGCAGGTCTTCCAGCGCGCGTTGGCGACGCCTCTGGATCGGTCCAGAGTCAGGGCGACGGCCGCCAGGCGGCACAGCAACTCGCTTAGTTCAATCTGCGCGATCCCATTTATGACCATGCAATGTGCTGGATCGTACGCGCGCATATCCAGCGACACGAGCTGGCGAAGTTCAATGTCCAATAGCAAACCATATGGTGCGTGATTAAGGCCGTGCATCTTGCATTGCTCGTCGAATGCGCCCGTGGGTAAAGTTCCTTTTAAACGCTGCAGTAGATCAGCGCTGAACCACAGATCGTCTGCGCCGCGCGCTTCGAACCGTTTCGGGTCAGCGAAAGAGATGGGTACCAATGTTCCCGTCGTGTCGGGCGCTGAGAGCAGGGTCTCCGTTGAATCGTATATACCGCGGACATTCTTGCACAAAGCGCATGGAACAACGCCAGCCGTAACTTTCATTCACAACGCATGTTTAGCGCCATCTTCGTCATAAAGTAGGCTCGACCCTTTAAAAAAAAAAAAATATAAAAAAAATCAGCGCAGGGGCACCGCCAGACCCAATGCCATCAATGGGGGCGCCCCGCTGCGACGCGCTGTCTGGGCCAATGAATAGTCGCCGCAATAGTTGGCGAACAACTGCAGACATCTTGCCGCATACCTCATCGACCATCGCATGCCGTATAAGTGCGACTGGCAACCACGCGCCCTCAGATGTCAACGCAGCGGGGCCGAACGTGCGGGGGCTGGCATAAAACGCAAATGTCTTGCGCCTGTTACCTTGCATCAATACATTCCCTGGCACAAATTCGTCGGACTATAAGACAACGCCCCCAGGTGTGGAAGGGGGGCGCGGGCTCCTGCTGAAAGTGGTTGACATCAATCGTTTGAAACTTTCCGATTCTGAAACGCAGTGCTGAAGCAGACTGGCAAGGTCCGCGGCTGGCATATTGAAGTTGCCGTCGTTCAGCTTCAGCTCTATGGGCGCATCGAGGAACGCTGCAGCGAACTCCTCGCGTGCGCGCTGTAGTTTCGACTTCGCAAGGTCGTCCATCAACTCGGGCTGATCCTTCAGCTTTCGCGCCGCGTCATAGATCGCAGAATCCGACGCGCGAAATGCAGCCACCAACGGGGCCAACGCACGTGACCTCTTCGAAATGCCCTCGCGTATACCATCGGTGTTTGGTCGACCCATTGGGCCTGGACCTAATCCAAACAATGCGGTCTGGGCCAAAGCTGGCTGCGCGCGAAAAGGCAATGATCGGAAGCATTGATATAAGCACGCAAGCATAACAGAGCGGTCAGACCGCTGCGCACTTCGCGAATGCAAGGATCGAACACGTAAGATTGCTACGCAAGCGCACAAAGCGGCCAGACCGCTCTTCGGGACACGACGGCGACGAAGCGAAGGAGGGGGACAAGGGGAGGGAGGAAGGACGTGATTATGTCGCGTTTCTTTTTTGTTTTTGTTTTTTTTTGTTGGCGGGGGGGGGGGGGGGGTCAGCAAGGTCTCAGGGGGGCGATGGGGAAGAGGGAGGAGGTGGGGGAGGGGGGGGGGGGGGAGGAGGAGGAGGAGGAGGAGGAGGAGGAGAGATGCGCTTTTGCTATGGAACAGCATCGGCTTGCCTCCTTGACGCCGACTGTTCGGCTACGGGGGCAACGCGCTCCCTGTATACCCGACGCAAAGAGGAGCAATGAGTTCCTCATCAGACGTGAGAGCGGTTGCATCCGCTTTGCGCCCTGGCAGGCTCGCTCAGAAGTCGACGCCGGGGACTTGCTCCGAAGCGCGCTGGCCAGCGCCCCCGGGTCTCCGCTGTCAAGCCCCTCGCTTGATCAATTTGCCCACGCGCAGCTCTCGAAAGCAGCGGTCGTGGTCTTCATCCACGTCGTCATGTAGCTGACGGCAGTCTTAACCTCGTCCTCCTTGATCTCTGGGATCACACTCTCGCCCCCCAGGCAGCTATTGCAGTGCTTCGCAATTCCGTTCAGGAACTCCTGCTTCTTGCCCGACATTTCCGCGTGCGTCTTCGGCGCCTGGCGAGGGCGGGGGTGCTCGCCCTCCCCCATCCTCTTCCTCCTGCTCACCCCGCCCCCCCCGCCTCCCCTTTCCCCCCCCCCCCCCCCCCCATCCCCTCCTCACTGACGCCTTCTTCGAGCGATCATCTGCCATCAGCGTCGCCGTCTTCTTCAGCAGCGGCTTCGCCGCCGCAAGCGCCTTGTGAACGACCTGCAGGCACTTCGTGCGCTTCCTCTGCCCCCCCTCCTCTGGGCGGCCTGCTCCTTGGCCAGCTCTTTGTCAAGCAGCTTCTGCTGCTCCTCAGCTTCGCGGGCCGCCTTTTTCTCAGCTGCGACCTTGGCCCTGCGCTTGGCTAACAGCTCCTTTGGCGAGAGGCCCGCGTCCGATCCCGATAACTTATCCGCGGCCTCCTTCTTCGACTTCTTGCCCTTCTGGGACTTTTTGCTCTTCTTGGACCGCTTGCCCTTCTTTGACTCGTTGCCCTTCTTATGTTTCTTCTTGTCGGAGCTCGAATCGCTGGAGCTGCTGCTGCTGCTGCTGCTGCTGCTGCTTTTGCGCTTCTTCGAACTTGACTTCTTCTCTGGTTTCTGCTCGGACAGCTTGCCGCATGCAGCCCCCTCGCCCTCCTCAGCTTTTGGGGCTCCTTCGAGGAAGGCTGCCGCCTGGCGCTTGCGATTGTGGCCCACTGTCTTCGCCACCTCCTGCATAATGACCTCCTTGATCCTGGCCTCAGAGATCGAGTGGATCGCAACTCGGTGCGTCTTCCCGAGAACGGGGTGATCCTCGATGTCTGCCGCTGCCGTTTCCTGCTCGATGCCATCCGTGCTGTAGCCAAGTTTCTCGTGCACGGGCAGTGGCAAGCATTGCCCGCTGCGGGTTTCCGTGATACGTTTCATGCGCACCTGCATGGGCATATGCATCATTGCGTCGCGGCAGGCGGCAGCGGTGCAGCCGCGTTCCTTGTGGAATTCATCCTGCCCCCCATTGCTGAGCTCGTCGAGCCCCGCAATCCGCGACCCGCCGCAGATCCTCCGCAGCGTCTGGTCGCGCACCCTGCAGTTGGCACACGTGATCATCGTGCCTTTGTGGGTGATCCTAACTCCCTTTGCAGACGGATCGCAGATCTTCTTGCGCAAAATGCATGTCGGCTGCTCTTGCGACGCGAGCAGATCCGCAATTTGACCTTGCGTCGGCCCAGCTTCAGGGTCTGCAAGTGCCTGATCCTCCTCAGTTGGCTGCTTCTCAGGTGGCTTCTCCTCAGCTTGCCCCTCCTCGGCTGGCTGCTCCTCATCTGCCTGCTCAGCTGGCACCTCTTCTTCCGTGTCTTCGACCTTGGCTGGGCCACCTGCGCGGTATATATATATATATATATATATATATATATATATATATATTATTGTATGTGTTTATCTCTCTCGCGCGGTCTTCCGCGCGGGCGCCGGGGTCCGCCGTCGGGCTGGCTCGCGGTCTGGCCGACGGAGGCGAGCCCGCAGCCCCCCGCTTCTGGCTGCTGGCTGCCTGCGCCGGCGCCCACTGGGCTCTGCTTCTGTTGCTGCTTGCTGAAGAGCGACTGGATCACGTTGCGCGCTGCAGCTGGTTGCACGCTGGGCGGGGCGTCGTCCGCCGAAGGCAAGGTCCTCATCATCGCGTTGGCGATGACAGCTGCTGCGTCTCCTGGATCAGCGGAATCACATCGGGGAAATGGCGGCGGCGGGGGGGTGGGGCGAGGGGGGGGGGGGCTGCAGAGCGACCATGCCGCTGCGGTCAGGGCCCGAGGATAGGGCATCGGCAGGGAGGCTGGTCACCGCCATGGTTCGACGCCGCCGCCTCGGCCGCTGCAGGCCGCTTTCCGCCGACGCGCGCCGTGCTCGTGGTGCGCGCGGCCGACGAAGCGGGAGTGCGGAGAGTCGCGCGGAGAGTCAAGTGGCCGCGCATGGAGCGGCGCACGCCACGCGCAGCAATCACAACGCAAAGCGGTCGCCGCTGAGTCGAGAGGATATCGCGCGCAGCGGTCGCGCCGCTGAAGCGCGTGGGCGAGGGGCAGGCGACTGGGGAGGAGGAGGAGAAGGAGGGGCTGCGTTTGAAAATTGAAAAGCAAAGCGGTTGGTCCGCTGCGCGAGGGGGAGGAGGAGGTGGAGGAGGAGCGCGGGGACTGCGCCGTTCGCAATATTCGAGGCAAAGCGGTTGGTCCGCTAAGGAGGAGGAGGAGGAGGATGGGGGGGGCGGAGGAGCGCGGGGATTGCGCCGCTCACAATATTCGAAGCATAGCGGTGTGCCCGCTGAAGAGGAGGAGGAGGAGGAGGAGGAGGAGGAGTGCGGGGGCTGCGCCGCTCGCAATATTCGGAGCAAAGCGGCTGGCCCGCCCCTCCTCATCCCCCCACCGAAAAGCGAAACATTTGGGAAACATTGAAAACGCCAGAAGCAAAACATATGAAAAACAAATCCGAAAACTTTCATGCGCAAAAATCCAGAACTTTTAATATATATATATATATATGCAAGAACACAGGAAACCATGAAAAAAAAACATCAAACGTCAAAACCCTGTTTTTCCAAAAAAATCTGCGAGTAGAAAACAGTTTTTTCCCAACAAAAAAAAAACGCCCCCCCCCCCCCCCCCCCCCCCCTCGCCCTCCTCCGCCCCAGAAGTCGCAGGCAGCGCCAGGCGGCGCCAGACAAGCGCCAGACAACACCAGACCACCCAGACAACCACAAAAAAAACAACAACAGACAACAAAACAACATGTTGTTATGTTGTTGTCTGGGTGTTGTCTGTGCCTCGGGCGACCCCGGGCAGCGCCGGGCAACGCCAGACAACAAAAACACAGCCAAACAACAACAAACAACAACATCAAACAACAACAACAACACCAGACAACAAAAGACAACATCCGACAACACCCAGACAACATCCAGACAACATCCAGGGACACGGCAGGGGCGCGGGAGGGGCGCGGGAGGGGCGCGGGAGGAGGGGCAGGCGGGGCACGGGAGTAGGGGCACGGGAGGGGCACGGGAGACACGGGAGGGGCGCGGGAGGGGCACGGGAGGGGCGCGGGAGGGGCGCGGGAGACGCGGGAGGGGCACGGCAGGGACGCGGGAGGGACACGGGAGTGACACGGGAGGAGTAGCATAATCGGGGTATATATAGGGACGGACGCGGGAGGGAGGGGCATGGGAGGGGCGCGGGAGGGGCGCAGTCTTTCTTTCAAGCGTGAGTGTCGAGCGTGCGGCTCGACGGCAGAGAACGTCGAGCTCACGGCTCGAGCGTCGAGCGCGCGTGCTGCGAGCCGTTCGCGTGGGCGGTGTTCCCCTGCAAGCTGATGCTCTCATCGGCATCTGGCACAGCGCTGCGGGGGCGCAGAAGGCGATTACGACGGTGGGATCGCGATGGTGAGATTGCGATTGTGAGATTGCGATGGCGAGATTGTGAAGGGGGGAAGAAGGCTGCAGATGCCCAGCTGCGGCGCAGCCCTCACATGCCGCGGCCGAGGTGCATGTGCGCCCCCGTGTGCGCCTCGATGATCTGGCTGATCGTCTCGTCGGCCGCGTTGAACGTCGCCGTCTCGTTCGAGAACGCAGCCTCGGCGCCATCGAGGAAGCGCAGGATCTGCGACGACGCGCGGGAGCAGCGCTTGATGTCGTCCTGGAGCGCCTTCAGCTCGCCGATGCTGGCGGTGACCTTCTGGGCGTTGTCCACCGCCGCTGCCGACTGGCGAAGGCTCACCAGCGGCATGCTCGACGCCAGCGGCATGCTCGACGAGGCTGGTGCTGCTGCTGGATCCTCTACTGCAGGTGGAGGTCCAAGTGGACGTGGAGCACTTGAGAGCCCGAGCCTGCTGGCAACAATCTCGGCAATCTCTCCCTTCTGCTGCTCCGAGATGCCTCCCTTGTTGCTGCCTCCGCGCTGGCGCTTGTTCTGGCCGCGGCGATCGTCTTCGGCATCTCGGCGCTTCTTCTTATTCTTCTCTTCCTCCCACTGCATCCACCTGGTGCACTCGTCGTCGCGCTTGCTGATGGTGCGAGTCTCGATGGGCAACGAGTCGATCATCTCTTTGATCCCATCGTCGTCGAGATGCTCGAGGCCCCCCTGTGCCCATCGCGAGACTTCAGGTGCCTGAAGACCTTGTAGCGAGCATCGTCTTCCGAAACCCACGACTGGCACCGATGCCACTTGCGATTCCACGCCTCTTTGCTGCAGTTCTCGGGGAACGGGCACTCGTGGAACCAGCGCCGCGTGCAGCGCCCGTTGCCGGCGGCCATCTCTGCAGGGCGAGAGGGCGAGCAGCGCGCTCGCGAGCGGTCGAGCCGCTGATGCGAAGGCCGCGGAACGGAGGCTTCGACCGCCTCTTCGAGCCGAGATGCAACCACGCGGCGAAACCAATGCGAAGCTGAAGGGCGATAGCAACACGCAAAGCGGTCTCGCCGCTATCTGAAGGGCGGCGGCAACGCGCGAAGCGGTCTGCCCGCTATCTGAATGGCGATGGCAACGCGCGAAGCGGTCTGGCCGCCATGTCGGAGGAGGGGGGGCGCGTGAAGAAGGAGGAGGTGCAAGCTGGCATTGGTGGAGGGGAGATGGAGGAAGGGGAATAGGCAAAGCGGTCTGGCCGCTACGTGAGAGGAGGAGGGGTTGCAGGAAAAAGAGGAAGAACAGACAACTGTATTGAAGGGGGGGTAAGGAGGAGCAAGGCGCATGCGGAATATGCAAAGCGGTCTGGCCGCTGGAAGTTGAAGAAAAAATGTGAAGAGCACGCCGCGTTGCATTCGCGCGAGGGCCGACGCGGCCAGGTCGCTCGGCAAAGGCGGGCCGAGGCGGCTAAGCTGCGCGCGGGCCGTGGCGGGCCGAGGCATGCCTGCAGGCGCCAAGTGCGAACGGGCATCCTTCTCCTCCTCCTCCTCCTCCTCCTCCTCCTCCCTCCTCCACCTCCACCCTCCTCCTCCTCCTCCCCCTCCTCCTCCGCCATTAAAAGCGGCTTGTTGCAGCCCCTCACTGCAGCGACTTGTGGCAGCCCCTCATTGCAGCGGCCTCGCTGCGGCTCCCCACTGCAGCTCCTCGCTGCAGCGGCCTCGCTGCAGCTCCTCACTGCAGCTCCGCGGCCTCGCGGCAGCTCCCCGCTGCAGCGGCGGAGGCGGCGGCGGCTTCGATGCAGGCTCGCCTTCGCAAGCTGGTAGAAGGCCGGCGCCTCCTCGACCTCGCGAGGGCGCGGGTTGCTGGCCTCGAACCTCGCGAGCGCCTCTGGGCCCTGCTTCTTGGCGGCGTTCAGCATGCGGCAGTGGTCGCGATGGCGGCCGCCGCTGATGCCGCAACGCGCCTGACCGCCGTCCACGCCAGCCCTCCACGGCTCTCCGTTCGGAGCCCGCCGGCCGCGCGGGCCAGGGGCGCGCGCGCGCGGAGCCCCGGCCTTCGGAGGCGGCGGCGGCGCTGCAGGCTGCGTCGCCGCGGGAGGCGGAGTTGCAGGCTGTTTCGGCGCGCCGAGCGCCTTCGGAGGCGGCGGCGGCGCTGCAGGCTGCGGCGGCGCGGGGGGCGGCGTTGCAGGCGGTTGGGGCGTCGGCGCATTCGGAGGCGGCGCTGCGGGTCCTGGCTTCGCCCATGGCGCCATGCATGGCGCGACTTTCATGCGCGTCGGCAGAAGCTGCTGTTGCGGCTGCTGCTGCGCTGCAGATGCGCTGCCTGCCGCCGGGAAGACCAGCTGCACGGGCTGTTTCGGCTCGCTTCTCGTCGCCGTGTCCTCCTGCTCCACTGCGTTGCCGTGCTTTGACGTCGCAATGCGATTCGGCTTCCTGCGCGCTGGGCTCTTCGGCGCGCGAGGAGCAGGCGCGTCGAGGCCGCGGTGGCGATCGAGCGCTCGCGCTTTGGCCTGGCTGATGCGAAGGGCGGCCTCCTCCGCGTTCGCGCGCCGATGCCATGGCCACGGGGCGCCGTGCAATGTTGCTTGCGGTGCTGCCGCTGCTGCAGCTGGCGCTGGTGCTGCAACTGCGCTGGCGCTGCCGTGCGCTGGTGCTGCCCCGCCGCCGCGCGCTGCTGCAACTGCAGCAGCTTCTTGGAGCGCGCGCAAGAGGGGCACGGGAGGAGGGGCAGGA